ATCAACTATCGTGAAATATTTGCACCTCCATAACAGTAATTTTCCACTCCTTATTTTCCCAAATTTATAAAAATCAAGATATTCGAGAGAAAAAAAAAAAAGCACGAGTAAATCTTAACATGTCGTTAACCCTAATTCAAGAGAGGCAAAGGGATCGATAGTAATGGATCGTTGATGTGCCAGTGACCGGGCAATGTATGAAAGCACGCTACTTCCGGGGGAGAAGAACCGTACGAACCACCACCTTCCTATTCGTCCTCCGAGAATAAAAAGTTCGATGAAAGCCACCGTACGCTTGCTAAATTCTTATGCAAGAGTCGTAAAAACGTTAGACTTGTTGCTAGGATCCCGATATAAAAATATCGAAAACAAATAATACACACATTCGAAAGTTGAAAGATGGCCGTAAAGTTTGCGATTTGCACTGCTGCCTACTTGTGTGCATTTCTCGGAAATCTATATTATTACTGTCCAGTACTTATATGGCATTACGTGAACACGGAAGAAAACTTGATAATCGCGTTAGATTACCTAACCTAACTCACTTCGTAACTTAACAGACACGTTTGATGATTCACAGTTTACAATTTTTATAGGGAGAATAGTTTTTTTTTGAAGTTAGAATTATTTTATTATTATATTTAAGTTAGAATTCTGAATTCTGTTATACGAAGCAATTATTAAAATTTCTTTATATCTGATATCAAAGGCTCGAGAAATAAAACGTGTTTATATACATACACAATTACAGTCGATAAGATTAATCACGACGTTAAAAACAGGGATTTCGCGTGAGCGGAATTTGATTCGTGGCGATTATTCAGTAACAGATTTGATTGCTTAGACCAAGATAGCAAAAGATTTTCGAGAAATAGCACAAAAGAAAGAATATCCGTGCAGAAAGATCTGGCCAATTTCAAAAATTAATTTCCGCCCGACCCCAACAGGAAACGTCTCTCTCTTTAATTATAAGATTCTTCGCAGCACCGTTATTCCGTCTTCCAGATTCCATAATTATATCTCTTTCGTACATCAAAATTATCTTTAATCACCATCCGAACAATATTCGACATTTCACCTCGATAAACCATTCTCAAACGATTTACTCGAGGGGAAGAAATAAGATACGAGCAAGAAAATTTTATCTCACATTTATTCCATTTTAATTAGAAATCCCCGTTAATTTAAATTCCTGTTCCTTTTTATTTCGGAAAGGGAGAAAAAAAAATAAGAACGAAATAAAAGAAAGAATTAAAATTCCATAATTTCTAACATCAAAAAAAAAAAAAAAAAAAAAAAAAGACGAGTTACACGTAAATGAATTCGTACGAATCGATTGATAACGATTGGAAAAAAGCTCAGGGATTTTTTTCCCCGTACAATCGTTATCCGAAATTCGTTATCTTTTATCTGGATCAGTGTGACACCATCGAGGCGCCGTCGACTTTTAAAAATTGTTTACGTTTTCCACACACACACACATACACATCTAACCTGGCCCTTCTCTAAAAATACCTGTTATCTGTTGCTCTAAATCAGTCAGAGTCGTCCCACCAACCCATGGGGAAAACGGGGATTTACATTTTTTCGCAGTTATTCACCAGCCTTAGCCATAAATAATTCATGCTCCCCGCATTGCGTTGCATATATATATATATATCCGATCTGATCATCGGATCAGATTCACGCTTGTGTATACACTCAGTCAATCGGCCAATATGTTGTTCCCTCCTCTGTCACGAAATTCTTCACCTGCTCGAAATGTAATATGGATCGATCTCGAGATTATCGAGCGGTGGGTGGGTGAGAACGAGGAAAGGAAAAGAAAAGTTACGAGGAACGAGAAAACCTCCCCGTTCTCTCCCTTTCCCCGCGATTATTTCTCCCTCATTAAACCATTAACAACGCGATTACCTTCGTGAAATTAAGCGACGTGTTAGAAATTTCTTCGAGCGAAATCCATCTAAGAAGGCGTTTCAAGAAAGGGATCCAGGAGTTTTCGATCCACGCTTCGATCGAGCCACTGAACCGTTTCGATTCGTAGAGGTAGAGGGAAAGGGGCAAGAAGGAAAAAATCGTTTCTCATTCCTTCGTTAATTTTTTCACAGCCACGACGACGAGTGGCGAAAGTTCACGCCTAGATACCGGAAGATTTTTCTTTTTTTATTTTCGTTAAAATTGCCTTCCACCCTCGTAAATTCGAATTATTCGAATTATTCGAATTATCCCTTCTTTCTCTTGCAATATCCGTACCGGATGTTAATAAAATTCGCGAGATACTTTCGGAGAATCGATTCTAAAAATCGAAACTTAGAATAATCCAAGAAGAGTTGGTGTGCAGAGAAATTCTGATGAAGGACTTTATTTGTTGAATTATAGAGAATTTAGAAGTTCAAGCTCGGCTTATAATTTAACAAGTAAGTTAGTATAATCGACTTTTTATTTTGAATAGAAAATTTCGAGAATTGTTCGACTTCTTTTTCAATTTTCTTTTTCTTTATTAAAGCGGAAGAGAGAAATATTTCTTACGAGTGTGTATGTGTATGAATATCTCAAAAATTAAAATTCCAATTTCAAAAAATTAATGGAGTTTTAAATGCCACGACAGTTAAATGATAGTTCTCGTGCCTTCGTTTTCCTTTCCAAGCTTTCGAAATTTCCACGAACTCCGATCCTCGAGATCCTCGGGATTGTGTACACGACCAGTCAACCCCGGTGGACATTAAACGGTACATCGAAGGGCGAATGCACGAAGAGGGGGAGAAAGGGAGGGAGGGAAGGAAGGAAGGCGCCAAGCCAAAGCCTCGACAAGTTTCTAGACGTACTCAATTAAAAGTTGGAGCCACTCGAAGCGGCGAGGGTGGAACGCGAGATGGAACCGTTCTGTCTTCATTTTTTTTTTTTTTTTTTTTCTTTCCCCTCTCTCAAGTGGAGGATCCACGTCGATCACGAGTAAATGGCACGATCCACTGGCATTTCATTATCGCCTCGATTACACGAGTGCTGCTGGTTACTGCCAGGCAATTTCACTCGACCCCTTAGATTCACCGCCGCAATGCATCCACGACGGCTTCAACACCTCTCTCTCTCTCTCTCTCTCCCCTCTTTCCTCCCACCACGTCCTCGCCCGCTTTAAGGTAGAACCTACTACATCCTATTTCCTTCGTTTAACCTCTATCTACCTCTTACTTCCGCCCGTTTAACGCTACAGTTTGTCTCCAACGATTACATCCTCTCTCTCTCTCTCTCTCTCTCTCTCTCTCTCTCTCTCTCTCTCTCTCTTTCTCTCGTGCGATCTGTCGCGATGATTCGAATACTAATCGATTTTAATAGAAAATTTGGTGATAGAAAGAAATTGTTTGTTGAAAGGATGATAGGGATGACGGATAAAAAGACGTTTTTTTTCTTACATTTGGCAATCGCTGTACGCTCGACGAATTATCTCGCGCAATAAAGAGCCGAAAAACTACTTGTTCTTATTTCTTTTTTTTTTTTTCAGAACGTCGCCGTTCTTGGTTAACGCGTGAAAAGCATGGCGCATATTGCGTGCACCATGATGACGGTTCGTAAGGTCTTACTCTCGTAAGGGGGTGGGCAAGATCGATAAATGAATAGAAAACGATATGAACGTGAACGTGAATTCGAGGAACATCGATATTGCATTGGTAGTAGTTTTTTTTTATTTATTGTTCCCTTTTTTTTTTGTTTGTTTGTTTGTTTGTTTCTCATATCGTATCGAATAGATGGTATATACAGGGTGGATTATTTAATGCGAACACCTTGATTATTTTCATTCACTGTTTCGTTCCATGTTGTATTATTAACGGATTGATAGATATTTGTTTCATTCTAGATTTCGAAGGATCTTCAAATTATTTATTAATCTTAATCAAGTATTGGGAAAAAAAGGAAATACAAGTTCGAGTTTAATTGATGAAAAAGTAATCAATTAAGAGAAAGTAATCAAGATGGTCACATTACAGGATCCAGCCTGTAAATATTTTTATAGCAAGTAAATTTAAAAGATTCGCGTAAATTGTATCCTTGATCTCTGGATTCACGATTTTCGAAGTAAAACAAATTAGACACAGGCCGTTAAATGAACGGGATATTTTTAATCATCGACTGTAATCGTAAAACGCCGTTCACTTCCGTTCGTTTTTAATCCAACGAAAATGTCGACTAATAAAACAATTCAGCCATTTGGGATGGCAATAATTATAAAATAACGATAAATTTTTTTTTCATTTCGAGAGGCCGATTCCCGACGTTATTTCGAACGATTCAATCCCCGACAACAATAACGAAAAAATTGCATTAACGATTATTCTCTCTCTCCGCTTTGAATTGTAAAACGATGCCACGACAAGGCAACTTCAAATTTACAAACAAACAACGTTTGATTATTTCGAGTCGATTGAACTCTCTCTCTCTCTCTCCCTCTCTCTCTCTCTCCCTCTCACTCTGTTTCTTTCCTTTCTCGTGGAAATCTTAAAACAGATTGGAATAATAGAGATTGAAAGATAGAATCGATTTATCGGGGAAAACAGAATGAACCGTTAAGGATTTCCAATACTACGTCTTTAATGGTTATTAAACGTTGATCGAAAACTACGGCCTATTTGCAATTCGAAGAGGATACACCCGAGAAAATATTTTCCATTTCAAAGATACAAAGTGTCCGTTCTTTATTCTCCTTTTCTTTTTCATTTTTTTTTTTTTTTCATTTAATTCAATTCCACTCCATTTTATTTATTTTCATATATATGTTTTCGCTGTTCCAATTATATTTTAACAATCGGTCCCATTATCATTCCAATTTTCTATTCATTTATCTGTAATGTGGGTATATATATATACATATACATATATACATACATACATACATATATATATATATATACATATATACGCCCGCGGACACGTACGCTTACATTCGACAGACATGCTTCCACCACTGTTCTACACCGAATAGAAGGAAAAATTTTCTGCTGACTTACCGAACGGAAGCTCCAAACGGCAGTCTATGAGAAGCGAGTGGCCAGTTGGCTTTTTCGTGCCGATGATCTCGGCACCTCTCATCTCGAGCTCCAAGTCGAGGCTGACCCATTGTCCGGAACCCTCCTGGAAAAGATAACAAAAGGTTAGCGAGAGATTCCATTATAATCGAATAGATTAAAAGAGATGCGAAATCAAGCATCAAGCATCAAGAGTAGAATTCAACTTCCACGTATCTCTACGTTCTCTTGAATTTTCGTAGAGTATATATATATATACGTATAGAAAGCTCTTTATGCGCGATACAATTCTATGCATGTATGCATACAATGAGCGATAAAAGCATTTACAGGCTAGGAATGTGTAACAATTAATTAAAATACACGTAGAAACCCGAGTTTCTTGATTCTTATTAAAAAAAAGTTTGAAAATGAAAATTAATTCGCACAATTCTTCCTTGTGATATATTATAGGTAATAAAAATAAAATTTTTATTTTATTTTTTATGTTGTTGTTTTCTTTTCGAATATTCAAACAAATCTGTTTACCCATCATTGATGCAATTTTCTATATAACATTTAATTCAGTCACTCGATTCTCTGATGATGATGATGATACAACCTCGTACAATTTTACGTACCCGTCCTTCCTCCACGCTTCACACGATAGATGCGATACGTTATTACGTTGATTCACGTCGAATTTAATTTTGCGTTAACCTTTCATCGTGTATACCTTGGTTACCTCCACAATATATTAATTCCTCTCCACCGATATACAATTCTTTCGCACCCCTCCCATCCTCTAGATTCGCACGAATCCAAAATCCGTGGCCGTTTCAACCCCTCTTTCCCCCTCCCTCCCTGCCTCTCTCCCCCAATGCCCGAAAACCATTTAACGCGGATTCAATGCGACACATGCACGGTATAATAAACAAACGATCGTTAATACAGGGAGGTGTTTCGAGCGCGCTAAATTCCCCCGTAATGCACCCATCTAAATTCTAACGCAGCCGACGGTGTCGCGGACCCGTGAATCAGGTCGGAGGCGCGAATATCAATCGATGGAACCGTGTATCTCTAGGCTGGGCGGCGGCGGAGGGGTTTAAACAATGTTATGAATATAAATTAACAGGATTAACACGATAAGAGTGTCCTCCTGTCCTGTTAAGGATTGTCCATTCGAAAATAATAATTGAAGTGAAACGATCCCCTCCCCCCTGCCGATTACGCAATTATTAGATCACGGGAGCGTAATTTATCCGTAAGTAACCGAGGTTGGCAACCATTCTTTCCTACGAAATGTACATATTACGTGTACATACGTAGTACATAAAAGTATGTGTGTGTGTGTACACAGTGTATACAGAAGTTAAGTGTGTAGAGAGGATTAATATGGGCGGGTTGGAAGTAGCGGCGCGGATTAGTAATGGCCATGTAGAGCGGGTAAAGGCACATAACACGTGTACATAAATTCTAGAAAGGTCTCTCTCTCCGCCGTTTCCGTACTCTCTCAGAAATGAGCTGCAAAGCATGGCTATCAAAGTGCACGCGCGGCTGTTTGCAAATGGCATGCCGTAATTAAAGCAATTCTCTTTTATCCGCAGCTGCCGCCGGCTGCGACTCGCAGCCGGAACACAGGGTGTATCGTATTTCTTGGAGGGACGTACGAAAAGGCCAACGCGAGCCTTTTCGTCTTATGCACGTGACAAGATCGCGATGATCTTTTTTTCTTCTTCTTTTCTTTTTACTGAGATTTTCCATTTCTCGTCGAGAAAAAATGCGAGAAACGATCGAGGGGAGAGATGCGAGAGATCGCGACTGTTCGAATTTGCCGCCACGCGATCGTTTGAAATTCCCGCCTTTCGAAAAAATGAAAGGCGCGAAGAAAGGCGGGAATTTTAAACGATTGCTGCCCTCCACTCGATCGAGCTCGACTAATTTTTGTAATAAATTTATTCACGGGGAAATACATTGATTCGTGTTTAAAGTAAACGTTAGAAAATTATTGAGAATTTTAAATATTGACGCGACGATTAAATGTACAAAATATATTTACATTAAATATCAAAATTTTAATAAACATATACGATTTATGAAACTTTTGATCATATCGATGAATTTAATCATGACCTAGATATGATTTATCCCATTAATAATTTTTGTAGATCATTACGAGTCAATCGAGAAACTTCACGCATTTTCTCGATACGGTAAATATTATTATTAAACCATTTTATTCATCGAACCGCGTTAACGCAGGAAGAAGAGGGAAAAAAAGCGACGAACGACGATTTCATCGAGACAAGTTTAATTCGTATCTGCGTGTTTCCACCAATATCAATTTCACCGATGCATATAAGCGTAAGTTTCAATGAAACTTCCATGCGAATGTTCCCGCAGTTTGCAACGCGGTTCACAACCGAGGAACGGAGAATCGCAACATCGGCATTGATACATTTATGATTCACAATGTAAACGGAGGTTCATGATATATTCCGTGAGAAGATAAGGACATTTTCGTTCCAAAATTTACGCTTCCAACTTACCGATATTGGTGGAGACGTAACGATGGCGAGGGAAATGTAAATCGGGGCCAATTGGCTTGTTGCTATAATACCGAATTTCCCATTCAACGGGCCCTTTTTATTACAAATCAAACCATCCACTTACACTTTGTCAGTCTATTCCATCAACGTCGATTTTTTAAACGCGATAGATTCTCGTGAGATTATATAACGATTATTAGTTTCTTTCAAGTTATAATTCCACGTGTAGAAATAAGTGGAGGAATAATAAATAAATAACAATTGTTCAGAAACAAAAATAGATTTTTCAATGTGATATCTTTATTGCAAAGCCAACGTTAAATTTCTGAAAAGTTGTTATTGAATTTTTTAACGCTTTTCTTCATTTCCTATTTCTTGTTTATCGTTACTAGTAATAAATTTCAAGAATTTTCTTATTCAATAAATGTCTCGATATTGATATTGATATTTCCATCCATAAAAAGAATAAATTCGCGAATGTATAATCCAAAATATCCAAAGTAAACTACTCGTTATAGAATCGAAACAGTGAAACGAATCTCCAACCTCTTATGTTCCATTCCTTATTCATAAATAAGAAAAAATATAAAAATAATATAAAAATACGAATTTGCATAAACCGCAATCTAATCGTGAAAATTCCTTTTTCTCTAATCCGTTTAAAAAAAAAAAGTAAAAAAAGAAAATACAAGCTTGTAACAAGGCAAACTTACGAGAGTGCACAACGATCATCGTTCCTCACGTGACACAATTTTATTAATAAATAGCTCGACTCGACGAGGCAGTGATACGAAGCACGCGAATACTTGTGAAAAATCTAAAATAAAAATCAGGGTTAAAATCGGGAGGGATCCTATTTTTAATATCGAACGCCATTATCCGGCACGCCAACGGTGTTAACCTTAACGAATCATTAAAAGTGACCGCAATGATTTATCAAATCGAGCTTGATCGTTATGCGAGATTACAGGACCATAAAAAATTGGATAGATTGGCAGAGACGGGAACAACGACGACGAGACGATGTAAAATCTCCATATGTATATATATTTGATCGTTTAAAAAAAAGGGAGGGGAAAGAAAAAGAAGAAAAAAAAAAAGCGCAACCTCAAACTCCGGATTTGCGGCTTAAACGCTTGGTGATGGCTGAACGATCGAATCAATCACGCTCGAGCGGGACCTTTGTTCTCGTTAATTTGGATTTTTACGTCCAGAACCGATCCTTTTCGACAACCTATTCGTATATTTAAAGGTCGTCCCTGGCTCATCCACTTAAATGCAGGCATGCAGGAAATCCGGCGTAGGGATTCGTTAAAAATTTGTCCCGGGACGCGGCAATTAAGTTTCCGGTTTAAACCGGCCAATTGAGGGCCTCGGTGGAGAAGTGGTGCTGATGAATTTTTCCCGAAAACGAAACGAATGGGGGAAACAGCGCGTGTGATTCGTGTTTAGGAAATGGAAAATTTTTACCTGCCAGTCAACAACAACGGATCTTTGCGAGTGTATATGAGAGTTTTAGAGGGGGAGAGGGGAAAAAAAAAAAAAGAAAATGGCAAAAGTGGAAAAACTTTAATGGAGGAAAAAGATTTTCTTCTTCGTTTTTTTTTTTTTCCTTGTTCCAACGTAAGAGCAAGATTTTTTTCTCTCTTTTTCTCCGTGTAATAGTATATTCTCTCTCTTTTCTTCTTTCTTTCTATAATATGAAAGAGGAGGAAATCTATAGTAGCTACTTTCAAAGATTAAAATATATTTTCTATATCTATAAAAGTTGGAGAGATAATAAAATATCGTGTGGATAAGGATTTTATACGCTTATCTCATTTGGAAATTTTAGAAGAACAGTGCACTTGTATTTTTCCACAACTATTCGCGTTCTAATATTTATACATGATTTTTCTATTAAATTTTATCTATACAAATTTTATCAATTTTTTAAAATTTAAAAAAAAAAGAACAGATTTCTTAAAATCGTATTTCTTAAAATTAAAGATTTTCTTCTCTCGTTTGCCACGACCTTCCCTCTCCTTTGATTAAAATTTTTTTCGCTAGACGATTGAGAAAATTACGTGATCAAAGAGTTAATATTTTATAGAACAGCTTAACTTTAGATTTAAGAAGCTAATCTTCAGGGGATTCTTTGTACATTTTTATGGAAGAACGTTTTAAAAGTTTTATGATTGTATAAATAACGAAGAGGGAGGAGAGGGAAGGAGATGGAACACTGTATATTTACAAATGCTTTCAACTTATATATTGGTTAAGTGATTGAATAATACGCATTACTTTTGTTTTGAGTCGTGAGGAAAATAGCAATTCTATTGGGAGAAGGGGAATTCAAGAGAAACAAATCTATCGAATCCGTTTCCATCGGAATGGAGCTGTTTGCGTGTGGAAAAATTTGATGTAAAATAATAAGACCGAGGAGTGGACATATTGACGTAAATAATGAAATTGTACGAGTGAGAAAGTTAAGAAATACGAGTTTCACGCTCGTTTCAATGAATGTTATGCAAATTTTTTCATATTTTCTCAGAATTCAAGAAATCAGATTTTTCAAGCAAACAAACAACAGATATAT